TCTGAGGTCAAGTGTCCTACTCCGAAAAAATGAGTCTAATCAGACTAGGAAGGCATGAAATGTGTGCAGACTGAAATGTGTACAGATTCTTGAATTGTAAAAATGACCAAGGACCAATGGTTCAGAGTGGGTGCCCATCACCGGTGGTGGACATTGACTAAATAGAATAGCCTGAAGGTGTACGACACTGACAAAACTCTTTTAGTGCATCACCTCCTATATCTATCAAACGTTATTAATTTATCAGAGTGATTACTGTGACTTTTGATTAATGACTGCCAGTTATAAAATTACGTCACAATAACTGTTTGCGTCATAATAGCTGTTTCGCTTTGCTACGCTTCTGATAATGAAAACAGAAATGGCAGGGGTTTTTCACGCAGTGCTAGCCAGTTTTTCTAGCAATTTTGGTCCCGTGGTAGTTGTTCCACAACTGGTATCTATATCTAGAACTGGTTGTAGTGTTCAAGGAAGTTGTGGGCCAGCGAGAGTGGAACAACCTATGACCGACCGCGACCGCGGACCGAACTAATTGGGAACGTAATTCTGCGAACTTTGCGAGGTGTGCCTTAAAGTACGCTAACAGAGAGTTGAAAAACATTCAGTCGAACTTACTCGAAATTTATGCCTTTTATTGTGAAGTAGAACTGCACAACTCCGGAAGTTGGTACACGGGTATGCAAAATGTCCAGTAATGATGGTCTATAGTTCTTCTTTGAAATTCGATCCAACTCGTTGAAGAAACTGAAAATGGCTTTCCATCTAGAGTTCCCTATTCAAAAGGAGCTTTCATAGAATAAATGCTAATCTACTTCAATCAAATATAGATGAAGGTGTGGCCAACAGCGCCTCCGTGATGGCATTATGCACGTTGGTGACAATTTATTCACAATTTTCACCCGCCGCCCCCTTAAGGTTGAATGACAATTATTTTAGTGAACTTAAAACTCACTACATCAGGCGCTTTCATAATATGAAGTTGTCCTCATTTAGGTCTTTCTGATACCCATCGGCGCCAAAGCTCAACGTAATCGCGATCGTAACTCTGGACTCCATTCGATGAACTCACAACCAGATGCGTATACTTTACGGACCAGTTTACCGTGGATCTGAAAGTGAACCGTTACAATCTAATGACATGCTTCGTATGCAACTACTAGTGGAATCGAAGTGGGGGAGTGATGGCTCAGCAGCCTCAAAAGCTCTTCTTAAATGTTTGGTCAGGGGATGCGATCCTGTCGAAGTCTCAAGGCGTGCACACGAGCGCGGCTAGAACATGCTTAGTACTTGATGGTTAAGCTTGCTGTACCTGTAGTCGAATAAGCATATAAAATTTGAAGGGCAGCAGGGCACATCGTTGTTGAGGAATCCCAAACAGGGAGGGGGATCGCATTGGCCGCCAGGAGGGGGAAGATTCGAATTTGCTTTTCTGAACGCTTTTCTAGTAGTGGGAGTGTGGTTACTTTCGTGATTTTCGCTGCTTCATGCCACTATATACCATCCCCCTACTCGACATGCAAAATTTTTGGGAAAAAGTAGGGAGTTTTGCGGCATTTCGGAAAAAGTGCCAGGAAGCTGGGGAAAATCTGAGAATTGGTAGAAGGGAGGGCGGTCGTATTGTTCCGCGGCTTTGCCTGTTTCACATGTGTTATTTGCGAATCCGCCCTTTCCCCTCGACAGTCGGATGAGGAAGAGAGAGGGGGGGGGGGCGTCGGTACCAACACCCGAAAAAATGGAGAAAGGGTTGTACGAGATCGGACTAAAATCCCCCAACCCATGCCTAAAGGGAGCCCACTTAATTAATTTAAAACTCACTTAGGAATGGTGAAAAGTGGTGGTGTACAAAGAAGGACGTGTATAGTCCACCACTAGTTCGAGAATACAGCGTTGAGCTTGATGACGGATACATCGCCTCGAGAACCTCCTTTTGCGTTATCTAGTACTTGCTCTCCCCGTGCTCTCAAAGCTCTTGGAATGGCGTTTTTCCCAGCTCTCAATATTGTAAACTTCCTTGTTTTCTCATATGCAATGATAAATAGTGATTCTAAGAAAATTGTTTAATATATCCCAAGAATGGCTAAGCTGTAAGCAATGGCTTGACCACTGCAAGCAACATTCCTTCGTTTGCAGTGAAGCATAAAACTACTAGGGCCGCCTTCCAACTCTCCACTTTGAGACTCTGAAGAGCTCGGAGTTGGTAGACATCGATGAATCGTTTCTGCGATAAACGGGCGAACGATCATCTGTGCTTTGGAGTGTATTCCTTTCCTCGATATTTGTTTTTCTTTGTTTCAATTAGTCTTATAGCACTCACACGTTTGAGGAGATGAGCCGGCGCGGAAGTGAATCGCGAGACTAAAACTTTCCCAAATGTTCTTCATTAATCAAGTAGTTATTGTTTAGTTCTTCATTATGATAGCTGCTGTTTAGCGCGAATTGGATAACAAGCTACTCAAGCTACAGCTCGCTCAAACATGCCAATCAGACCACTTTGAAACATGATCAATTTCACACAGATGAATGATTTGACACACGAGAAGCGGCATGATTCTCTTCAAAAATGGTTTTAGTTCAATTGCGCCACGCAACCTAACGATTGTCTAGGATCGGAGACTTCACATAGAGACATACTGGCACATTTTGCATTACTACAGACGATTCTTGTGGGGGTTGGGTAATCAGGCAGGCAGACGGAGATGCAGAGTACAGCTTCCGCCAAAGCACCGGTATTTGTGCAAGACATCTGCATCGAGTCTAGATATGTGGGTTTTCGTTGGGAGGGACGTCAAGGTGTGTGATACACTTATCATTTGTCAAATCTTAGAAATTTTGGAGTCACAATGACAACAGAATGCTCTACTGAAGACAGAGACTGAGAAAACGAGAAGAGAGATCGAGTCAAGGCATCGAAAGAGATGCGAGTTTAGGGTTGGCGGTGGAGGCAAACTCGCCTACGGTTGCCACAGGATCGCCCGTCTCCAGGATAGCGCTCCAGCGATGATTTTGACCGTTGGAGTTTCATTTCAACATCATGAGGTTTCCTTCTGTAGCCATGGCAGCCAGGTTCAACGAATACGTGTCTATATGGCAGGGCACGTCCAGCCGCTGGAGAAAACTTCCGGAAAACACGAGTACGGTCACAAGCTGTGAGAATTTTTCAAATGCGAAATGTTCTCAAGCTTGTAAGATTTTCCTATAGCTCCAGAAATCAAGAACAAGCTATCAAAAAAGTTTCTCTACGCATTACGACGCCCATACTCTGTCTAGCGACCAAAAACAAAAACGATTTCGCTGGCGATATTTAAGGGGCAGGGTCAGACTTGCGGACGGCAATGCTTCGGTCGCCGCGTTCGCTGTTGCGTCTGTTTTGACTGCAGTCGATCGTGTCAGGAACGCAACGTAACCGCGCCGCGCGAGTCCTGAACGCTGCCACTTACAACGTAAGTCTGATTACATTCTAAATGAGAAGAAAGCTTGTGGCCCATAGCTCTCTCGCTTTCCCTGGCCACTACCTAGACTACACGTTTTCATTTTTTTTTGATGGGATGACCTGACTTAGGATGATTAGCCTCTTTTCTGACTACTTCTACTTCCTTGTCTGGCGGTAATCATAGAAACGCTGAAATAATGCACTGAACATAATTTATCGCGTGTGCAGGTGTGTCCGAAGTTTTCAGCTGCCTACGTGCACATAACTCGCAAGTCTCACTTCCTCAAGGTCACTTCCGTGAGCACTATTATAGCTGCGCTAAAGCGCAGGGTACAATACATTCCACGCTCACCTGATTCGAGGAATCGCCGCTCTTCCGGTCAACTTTACTTTATTTATCGTGTGAAGTATAGAACGGACCTTATGACCACCGTGAGATGCGTCACCTGGTTCTGTTCAGAACCATAATAGTGTGTGTTGCGACTTGAAATACATTCTCGCCTGAGGGACTAGCCGACCAAAATATAACAGTTTTTATGCTTTCGAAATGGCAGTGGCGGCAGCACGAAAAAAAAGCAGAAGTTTTCGGATAGACGGTTTGGTTGGCCTGAGTAAAAGACGACCTGGACGTGACCCTTAGCCAAGTGCGTGGTAAGGAAAGCCACGTGCCGCTACATCACTTTCCAAACAGGCAGCATGTACTGCATCTTTAAGATGCGGAACAACAGGACCTGGGTCTCCAAATTGTCTTTTGGAGCCTACAAATTGTCTTTTGGAACTACAGCACAATATGCTTCACAATATGCCTAGCAAGCACAGTAAGCTCACAAGGTAGTAAGAATTATGAACAGACAGTGAAATCCGGAGATCTTTCTAATCAGGGAACAAATGCATAGTGAATCCAACCTTTAAAAGTGAGCCAAATTGGGTTCTATTCAATATCGCAGGCTTTCAAAGCCTATGGAAATAGAAATTCACTAGGAGAAGACGGCTAATGGTCATGCAAACGTTTTCATTTCTTCTAACAAGCCCGGTATTCCATCAATAATGAGGGATTGGTAGACCAAGGAGGGATAAGTGAAAGGCTAAATGGGGTAACTGGGGGACTTTGCCACCCCTACTAGATCTCTTTTAGTTCAAATTTCAGTTCTCAGACTTAATCGAGAGAAACTACGTAACAAAGCACGAGCTAGGGGGTCCGGCGACAGGTGCGTGAGTGTGGGCTCGTTTCCACCTGCGTCCCAGGCAGGACGTGTTATGAAATTTCTGGGCGAGTACGACTCCCTCCCGGGCAACATTTCTCCCCAGTACGACCACTGCCTCACAACACATTTCTTCTGAATTTTACCGTCGGGCGGGAGAGAGGCTTTAAGAAACAATGATTGCATAGTAGTTTGGGAAAAATTTCGAAAAAAAAGTGGAAATTTTTCCGCAGCGCACACATGTACGACTCCCTCCCCTCTCATGAACCGACTCCACTACTGGATTCCTGCCATTGGCGAGTACCCAAAACGAGAAACATCAATTACTAAGTAGTTTTCATGAAGGCAGTTACGATTCCCTTGTTGTCTTATTCAAAGCGGGTGCTGTTCGCTGCTCCCATATGGCATGTGCTTCCCACGAGTTGCCGCAATTTGGATCTTACAGTACTTCTGGGTCTCACCTCCATAGAACTATTGTCGAACGCGATTCCGAGCGTATCTTTTGCATCTAGAAGGGCATTCATCGCTTGCACGATGTTCATGTACACCACGAACTTCTTCTCCTGGACCTCCTGTTCCGAGTAGCCATTTGCGTGCATAATTCTGAAGTCGGCTTATACTTTTTCAAATATATTAGAGTATCTCAATAGAAACTTCTGACTCACTTCAACTGCTTCAAGCAGGTGCTTTTCCCACTTTCACCTGGTCCAAGCAACAACAGCTTCTGCTCCATGTTACCGTTTTTCTTTCTTTCAAGTTCACGATCAATTTTCTTCGAAACTAGCGCTGCTTCCCGAGCGGCCTTAGCATCGACCGACTCGCAAGCGCCCATGGAAGGCTGAAATTAGGTGTCTCATTCCGGAGTAGCGAGTAGAAAAGATGTCATCGCGGCACGAACATGACAATCTCAAGCAATTATCTAATTATGCGAGCAAGTACGATATCAGTTCAAAAGGATTGAGCAGCAATACAGTCAAAATAAGGCCAACCAGAGTGTAGGGTTGTAGGTTCCTGTCATTTCTTGAAGGCTAATTATTGCAGCGAGTGCATATCGTAAGGCCCACAGTTGTACGAGATTTTAAAAGATTCTGCCTAACCTTAAAGGCAGTTGGCACGATGGTTTCCTACTTAGCCTAAAATGCTAGTAGGGCGCTGTATAGTGGGGAAATGGCGAAAGAACGGAGTGAAACGGTCAAAATCCTGCGAAGAAAAAGCCTCCGTTCTCAGTGACTTGTAAATCGATTTCGGACGAGTTTCCCGTAGGCATCT